GCAAGACAATTTTCCATATTCCTTTTATGAAGTTATTTTGGTTGTGGAGCATCTGCTTGTATTAACTGGAACAGCTAAATATATAAACAAAGACGAACATGTAGGCTAACAACAACTCACTGTTACCAAGCCTGACACCCTTAATCCACCTGAGTCAATTCCTACCAGAGGCAGTACAGTGAGAGAATCTAAAACCAAGTTAGCTTTCTTTCAAGACAACATATCCCACATTCTCGTTTTACTCAACTTTTTGTATAGCCACAGAGAAAACTAACATGCGCCCTCTGTAGGCAAGGATGAGTAGTGTCTGCTACTCACATAATAGTCTGCACTGATCTGAATAACAAGTTCCAAAGTAGTTTTCCAAAACTTTTTAATACTCACGCTTACATTGCCAGCTGTAAAATATCTTCTTCACTTTCCTTGACTCTCTGCAATGGTTCTTTCAATTCTCTTTTTCTGTCAGCTTCTCCCAATGGCCATTATTTAGCTCTTCCACTGGTCTGCAAAGCATGTTGAAGAATCCCTCTACATTTAATTGACAAGCAGTTTCATTCATGCCATAATCTCGTTGAATCTCTCTAGAATTTCTTTCATTTTATTTGCACCCGAAGGAACAGGTTTAGAGCTTGTGGTCTTTACAATTTTTTAATAGTTCAATAATTTGCAAGCCAATACTTTACCTACAAAGGATCAACAAAGGCAGACTAATGAAACGTGTGATTGTATATTTTTTGAGGCATAAAACCTTTTTCTTAATTATTAGACTATGTAGGTAGCTGTATTTGCTCAACCCATTGGATCCCTGATAACTAAACCAGACTAGCATGCATGCACACTGCTGCCTGTGGGCAGGAAACATCTGATGCCAAGCGGCATGAAGTGCCACAAGGAATTATTGGAACAGGGTGAGATGCATGCAAAGTAGCATGTTATACAAACCATCCAGGTGTGCCCAAAAACAGCTGTATACTGTCACAATGCTTTAGTAGTCTAGGACCATAAAGTGCACACAGCCTCTGAAGCACCCTTCCACAAAAGACCTGGAAAATTAACAAAGAAAGGGGCAACAGTAATGGAGTTAAGAATGTCCATATCAGCCATGTGTGATTAATTCATCATGTAAGAAAAGGGTGCTACACACTCAATGATTTTGGCAACAAGCAAAACAGGGAATATGGACTATTTCATTTACATTGTGGACCTAATTGAAATCCGCAGAAGCCTTTTTATTTTGAAAACGGAAGCGTGGTGGTAGCATACTATGCATATATTTGGCCATTCTCACAAAAATTTGAATCCTTTTCCAAGAAGAAAATGTTGCAATGTGTGTCCCAATTCAGAGGCTGCATCCTTTGAAGGAGGCATTCGGCGTAGTCTTTGTAAGCCGAGTCTTTCTGAGTCTGGGTATAGGTTGGACCAAGTAGGATCCCTCGGGTGGATTTTTTACAGCCTGGGAAAACAAGGACGCATTTCAAGGCTGCACTTGGAGGAGCCTTCCAAACGGGACCGCCTTGTCGTGCCACTCTGACGCTTTCGGGGCTTCAATGTAACCTTACAACAATGCAGCCCCTGAAATGGGACACAGCTACTGTGAAATAGTGTTTGACATTATCTTAACATATTAGGTATATTAAAATTATCATTTAAAATTCTGAATTAATGACCCATTTTTCCCAACTAGCCACTTCTGTTGCAGTTTTAAGATTAAATAAATATTTCAAGTTTACTGTTTGTGACCCACAACAATCTTAATAATGTTATGTATATGCATTACTTCAGTTGGTTTGTATTGTCATTTGTTTACTCCACAACTGTTTCACTCTTTGGACAATGAAGTTGTATAATGTGAGTCTGTCATCCAACTAACAACTCTGTATTCTCATGGCAATGAGTTCATGAGAATGGCTTATATTGTATCCAATAACAAATCCATACACTTTTCCATATACTGGCTTCTTCCTTCTTCATTCAGAACAATTGCCTAACCTAATAAGCCTAACTAATAGACATGCTGTAAATGTTAGTTTTATTAGTAGCGTGGACTGAAAGTTTAGAATGCGTTGCTGATTAAATAATAATGCAATCAACTGCATAGTCCAAACAAGCTTTTAATGCTAAAGCAAAGGTTGCGATGTACTGTATTAGTCCAAACCAATTGCTAATGACTGCCACACATCTACGCCATTACGTGAAGAACGATTACCAGTTAGGCAAGTGTCCTGCTCAGGCAGTTCAGTTGGGCATCCCTGGCATCATCTATACAGGAGAAATTGCGTCCCATAATGGCTCAAAACAAAATTGGCACAGAAAAATTAGTGTTTAGCCATCCAGCCGGAAGCATGCGATGCAATGAACGTCCATCATTTGAAGCACATGATGCCGAGGACCGTTCTCCATCCTGCTCTCACAGGAGCGCAAGTACATCCACTGCAACTTGTAGGATTGCGATGGGCACAAATTGTATCATGTTACAAATTACAAAAACTTGCTTATCAAATGTAGCAAAATGCAGTACAAAATACAGGTGCGAATACAAATAATTTGTAATTTGAAAATACAAAATACGTGTAACATAGTAAAGTTGCGCGATGAATACGTGTACCGTTACAGCTAGAGTATGTGCAATATTTGCAAAATATACAGCTTGCCCTAACTTTAAATAGAATAATCATTTTGTGGTTTACTTAGTGTTAAGTGTGTATTTAAAAAATGACGTTTGTAACATTCGAGAAGGAGGAACCGCGATACGAGATTGTGAACGTTTGTATTGCGGTTTTGGTCTTATTTCAGAACCATTACACCGTAAATTTATATCCAGTGTTTCCTACAGAATTAGTGTCGATGGCCGACAGGGCGCCCGGTGTGTGCGTGTGCACGCAAGGAGGCTCAGCAACACTTTCTACAATTAATTATCATAATATGTGAATTTTGTCTTACTGCAGGGTGCCGAATGTGCTGACTTAAAGAGTAACTGTTCTTTAGATACACATTAATAGAACCTTGCATATAATATACAAGATCAAGGTTACAAGTCAGTTCTCCCTTTTACAAGCTCAGTGGCTATAAAAATGCCTACGTTTGATAGAAAAAAAAATTTCCTTTGGAATAGTAGCTAGCCTGATTTATCGCTAATGAAGGCTTCCATATGTGACAAACTGCAAGATGCCACTGCCTGTTTGCATTAACTAGAACGCCACTAGCAGGCTAGCAAGTTAATTCACAACTTCTAGAGCACAGCACTGCTGTTTGCTAGTTGCTCTATTTTTCTATCCTAAAATGACATTCTGTGAGTAATATCTGATAGCATATTTCACTACATACTTGCACCAAAACATCTTCTTTCCCTGAATTGCTGGTCAGAGGAAAACAAACTTCACAACGAGCAAGCTGGGCCCAACAGGATGTGTCACGTGATTTACTTGTATCTAGCCAAGGACGGTGATAAGCTATATTTTAAAGTCTGTAAACCTGCTGATGAAGGTTCATAAAATGACAGAAAATTAATAAGTAAAATGACATATTTTAGTAAGTATTTTTGATATTTTAAATACATAAAATACGATCTCTCAAAGTATTTTGTTATAAATTACATCTGATTTTTCCATCCAGCAAAATACAAATTACAAAATACTCAAAAGTAACTAAATGCATATTTGAATTAGATTCAATTGAAATACTGTCCATCTCGGATGATGACACACTACTAGCTTTGAACTTGGTTTTTACACATTTTAATTGAAAAAAAATATTTTTTTAATCCGCTAGTTGTTTAGCCTAATTGATTTGCCTACCTATCCTTGTGACAAGGCCCTCATCTAGATGTACTTGAACTGACACTGAATACACCGCATGTTTCTGGGTGGATTGCAAAACGCTCCACCTCCAAAAATTCCGGTTCATGCCATATTATTGTTCACCTACTTATACTGCATGCAGTAGGCCAGGAGTATCCCAAGGAACTACTTGACCAGGACACTCGCCTAAACAGTAATCATTCTACGCTTAATGTGGTAGATGTATGGGGTTTTAGCGGCAGTAACTAGCAATTCATTACGGTACTTACAGGTAAGTGCATATTTCACATATATGTACTAAAGCTGATTTAGTTGTGTAATTAAAACATTTATAGTGTAGCGCCTGTGAAGTGGCTCAAGCATTGTGAAGCCCAGTAACAGCATGGAGCATGCTGGGAGATATGTGTAAATAGCCCCTTGTGTGTGTTCTTCTAAATACTTGATGTGTTCCCAATTGTTGTGTGTCCTTGCCTGTGTCATACTGTATATGAATCCAGTCCACTCCCCGCGAGTCTTTAGCTACTGTATGACTACCCACCGTGTGTGTGCCTTACCTATTTATTTGTGTTTGTCTTTTTAAGCTGTAGAATGAAAGACCTGGCGGGTTCCTGCCGCTGCGACGCCTCGGTTTGCCAAGCGTGTGATACTTCCTACTCTACTACATTTGTAAGTAGCGTTGCGTTACATTTTATAATTACATAGCTGTCTTTTTTTAATTGGATGACAACAGGGAACAGTAGTGTTGGGACAGATAATACCGAGATTTCTGAGCTTTTCTTGTCAAAGTCATGTCTAGCAACTCAAAGCAGGGAGTAGACGTCAGAGGTTCTGAATACTGTCAGCTCTTATAGCTTTTATAAAAGCGAGGTGAAACCTTTGGATATTTTGTTATTTTTCTGGTCGGTGGAGATTATTGCGATACAGTTCGTACCATATACAACACCATTTTATTCATTATGGAACGTGGCCCTGGAAATGGCAAGAGGTGATCCTCGGATATTTTAATAACGCACACATAGTCCTTTGCGACCTAAATGTCATATCCCGATAACGACACATATCATGATACAGCACATTTTTTTAGTAAATTCAATGAATAAATCGTTTATATAAAATGACCACATGGAAAGATCTATTTCTTATTACATTCTGAAACTGATATCTGAGACCAATAAGGGCAATTTACTGTATACCGTGGATTTGATTACAATCCAACAGTCGGAGATTCTCGAGGCAGAATTGCCCAAAGAAGCGGCTGATTTCAGATGTACTTTCTCATAGCAGTATGCAGCCTTTGCTGTGTCTTTTTGTCCCTTCAAGGTCGCGGTGTGAGGTGGTGGGAGAGTTTCAGGGACATGTGCTGGCACTTCTGACCCACATGGCCAGGATCCGTGGCTTTTATATTCCTAACAATAGCGGAATTAGACACTTGGCTGCATTGCCACTATGGGATTCCCAGGGAGGTTATTTTTCCATCGGTCCCTACAATGGAGAAGGTAGGCACTCTGAGACATGGAATTAGGTCATTTTGCCGTTTGTTGTTTGAAGATGAGTAAACCTCTTTTTAAGCTCATGAAAACTCACTCCATAAAAGTAATGAAATATGTTACAAACTGATAAAAAAAAACCATATAAGGTCCTTCACAGAAGACGGCGGCTTACACAAAAGGTTCATTCTGATTCATCCAAGGTACGTATATATTAAGAAAGAATGAGGTATATGTGTAGCAGACACATAACACAAGCACTCAAGTGAGTTTAAATTATATATCAAAGATTATTTTCATGGGAAATATCTTCTGATCAGCAGAGAATTGCAGATGAGTGCAGTTTCCAGGAGGTGTGCTTGTCAGATGCATGTTCACTCGAGAGTGTCTTTGTGACTGTTTACTTTACACATTAACCTCCAACTTTAGAGCACGTTTGAAAGCCACCAAGAAGTGACAGACGTGGTGACTGGCTGAAACTCTTACCCTTTTGGATGGCGAGTCCCCAGGGCTTCCAGCTACCGTATTCTGGAAGCGGATTTTGAGGCAGGTAATAGCAGACCTGTCAGTTGACTTTAGTTTCTGTTTGTCGGTTCCTTTCTATGACATTTCAGTGCAGTGGATGTCAGTCTGCCGCAGTACTACCTGCCAGGCAGCAGACCCAGCAGAACTTTCTGCCAATGGTCAGGCAGCACTGGAGCAGAAGTCTGTTTTCTTTCTGCTTAGTAAACACAGAAAAGAACGAATAACTATTAAGTATTAAATGATAAAATGACATTTGGCACAGAATTTAGATACAGGGGGAAAAAACTCAAAGCAAAATCTCATTGCAGGAAAAAAAATTGCACGACTCCTTCAGGTTGAGATATTAATCTGCTGTCTTTAAAGCAGAGCTGTGTGTCTCTCCACTACTTTCTCCCTACTATACCTAAAGCTTACGTAGCCAAGCATCAGCACGAATTCCTAGAGCAAAAACAGACCTGTGCTATAATCTGTGCGTGCTGCCCACCTACAAGCTACACTGGGGACTTTGCAATATCCTCCCACCATGATGTTCTTTCCAAAGCTCTGGAAAGACCTCTGTGGAGAGGGAAGGGGGAGGGGGTATGTGGGCTGGGACTCCATGCCCATGATCAGAAGACCATTGGGTCAAATACTGAGGCCAGCAGACAGATTCCACCACTGGGCCCCTGAGCAAGGCCCTTAACCCCCATTTGCACCAGGGGCACCAGAAAAAATGGCTGACCCTGCATTCAGACCCCAAGCATTGCTCTCACTGTGTGTGGGGGGGCAGTGGGCTAAGTGTCTGTGCCTGTGATCAGAAGGTCGCCCGTTTGAGCCTGACCTCTGCAGATCTGCAGGTCCTACAGCAAAGCCCTTAACCCCCCAGCCCCCAGGGTGGTGCTGTGGGTGGCTGCTTGCACTTACCTGCAGAGAGCAAGAGGGGGATGTGTAAAGAGAATTTCCCCATGGGGATCAATAATGTATCATTTATTATTATGTCACAAAGGAGAGCAAGATAGGATATGCAAAAAGAAGCATTGCCTCAATGTGCAAATGCATCATTTCATTTTCATTGTGGTCAAGCATAACCCGGCTTGAAACTGTAACTGATTTTTTTGAGATTTACTGAATAATGGTGCACAGATTGTGCATCAATTATGCATTGCTCACTTTTAAATTTAGTCCTGTGTAATGCTCAGATTCTCAAAGTTTGGTAATGAGTAAGTTTTCATGAATTATCATTAATGGCCTTAAGCAGAGGTGTCAGGAAATAATCCTGCAGTTGTTTTTTCAAGGATTTGTTGTTCTTTTCTTGTCTTGTGTTTCTCGGTGATCCTCTAATCCCTGTTTGTTCCAGCTACGTTTTGAACTAATTAGCCTTAATTGCCATTAGTAGCGATTAGATTGTCACTTAAATCTATAATTGCTTAAATTCAGTCTTTGTATGAGGAAGAACAGCCTGCATCAAATGGAAAATAATTTGTTCCTGCCACTTAAAAATGTACAATAGACAATAATAGCTTTTTAGCTGTGTCCTCTTTAAGCATCCATCCATCTTCCGAACCACATTTCCAGTACAGGGACATGGAGAACCTGGAGTCTGTATACAAGGGCACAAGGCTGGGGTACAACCTGGGCAGAATGGCAGTTCATTGCAGGACACAAATTCACATAGGCACCCTCCCACACACAATAAGCAAATTAGAGACAGCAGTGTGTCCATAAGAGGGTCATTGGTCTTGAGAAGGACACTTGGGTCCCCAGAAGAAAACAGGTTTTGAAAACCCCAAAACACCTCCAGCTTTAAACAACCATGAAAAAACAAGTACTTCTGATTTGCATAAGTAACCAGATACACATACATACAGGCAAAAGTTTCAATTTTTCAATAGTCAAAAGACGATTTAATATGTTTTGAGTAATGTGATATATTAAAACAGTAGCTCAATTGAAGCAAATTAATAGATTAAGTGCTCGGCTGGAACAAAACCACTTACACATGGAGACAGAGCCACAAAGCTCAATTAGGAGCAAGCTGTTTCCAGCAGTCAAAATGGCCGCATCTGTTCTTGAAAGGATGTCTCAGAGACACCATGTGTCTACACTAGGGAAATAAATGTATCATTAATCACGACCCGATTTCCCTCCTTCGTAACGTTAATAAATCAGCCAATATTTTTTTTGGTGGCAGGAAAAAAGATGAGCTGATGAACAAAGCCTCTCTCTGATTTACAACCCGATGAATAATATATTCCAGAGAGTTGCCACAGTAAGTTGGACACATAAACTGCTGAATGTGGCACACTGGAGAAATGCCTTCTAATTTTTTTTCTGCAATACTCTAATGTAATATCCCAGGCAGGAAGCAACATGAAAGATTCATGTCAAGTCTCAAACTGTGTTTGTTGTTACATTCCAAAGTCAAACAATACTGTTGACTCAAACTTACTTTGCTCTCAAGAGAATCGTTTCCTCATGCTTCAGGTTGACTATTGATTTTTTTTTTTCTGGTGGGTTTGATATTATGGGCATGAATATATCAGCCAGCAGGTTTTCTTTTTGACTCTAGGAGTCACACTTCGCTCTCTATACACAAGTCATTTATTTCTAAATTAACAAAGCGATGAATGGTTTAATTTGTAAAATGGGCACATGTGAATGTCATCGTGATTTGAAATAAATAAAATTGGAGAATTGCAAAAAGGAGAGTTAGGACCATGAAGTGCTGACGGTGAGATTGTCTTTCACTAATCATTATTCTTATTTTCCCGGCACCTCTTTATGTGAGTCATTGTGTGCAGCTATTGTGAAATACCACTTTAATTTGTCTTTCAAACGCCCTCGCTCCTCGCTCAGCCTGGCGCTGCCCTGCATGGCCTGAAGGTGCCGTATGTTTTCCTGCGAGACTCGACGTCGCTCTCTGAATGCTGATGCTTCACACAGTCACCAAGGGGGGAATCTGGAGACTCTTTTGTAATGCATTTTAAATCATAAGGAGAAAACATGATTTTTCTAAACCAAACAGCTGTTTGATTTTATTTTTAAAAATGATGAACGGACATGTGCCTTTTCTGTATGTGAATGTTGGATTTCATACTGATATGGGGGGGGGGTCACTGTGTAGCCCTCTGTCTTCACACCTCCAAGGGTGGGGGTCCAAAGCCTGCCCCCAGCTCTCTGTGTGCCTCTGGTTTTTGCCACACAGTCCAAAAATGAGCAAATTAGGCAAATCTGAGTCTCTAAATTGCCCACAGTGAGTGATGAGTGTGGGTGTTGTCTTATGATGACCCAACATTTGTCCAGGGTGTTCCTGGGATAAGCTCCTGCGGAACATGGATCAGTTTCCTAATTTTGGATGCCTGAAACCTGAGCTTGAAACAGAGACATCCAACCAAATGCATGAGATGCTTTTATGATTAAATGTTATTAAATGAACAAGCTGATTATCATAGTTACAGCCAAACGAAATAATGGGAGATCGGCAATACGTGATAAACACTTGATGGATTCTTGCCTCCGTCCCCCGAGTATCTTAGTAGTTCTAGTTCCCCGAGGGTGGGGGCACACTGCAATCCTTCCATTCCAGCTGGATGATAAGGGATGGGTTCATTGATTAGATTATAAGAACAGGTCCTCTTCAGGGCAAGACATTACGCGACCAGAGAGGATGAGTCTCACATCCTTTATTGCTCCCTCTGATGCAGTGTTATGATGTTCTCACCTCACCTAACCACAGGTGGCAGATTGCATATAACAGGTCCTGAGCTCCTGACTGATTTCTCTTGACCTACCGTGGTTTTTTTTAGTTGCTTTTCTATTCATTCTTTGTTGCTTGAGGACCATCACTTAATAGAAAGACTGCATATGGTAATAGAAACTTAGGACTTATAATCAGCTACATTTCTGCTTTGCTGGGCTTATTCCTGAAGCTCTAGATGCTCACATCCATGCTCAGTCCATGTAATTTTAAATTCTTTTTATGGATCAACTCAAACATTGTAATTTACAATCGGCAATTTAACATGGCTTGTGAGACAATTTCAAACAAAAATTCCTTCTCAATAACTGAAGAAGGCTAAATATGATCTATAGTTGAAGTTGTTTGGTCATCAATCTGCATTAGTGGCTGTTATATATTGAACTGGATTAAATGTACATTCATCTATCCATCCATCCATCAATCCATTTTCTATACCCACTTGTCCATTACATGGGTCCGGAGCCTATCCTGGAAGCTATGGGCACAAGGCAAGAAATAACCCAGGATGGGGTCCCAACCAATTGAAGATTAAATGCACTTATCATAAAATATATATATATATATATATATATATATATATGCAACATCACCTTGTCAACTGGAACCTGATTTGGAATGCACTTATAAAGAAACCAATAATTAGCATACTAAAATGCCAGTTCATCAACAAAACAAACAAAAAACAACAAACAAACATGCTTTATTTATCATTCGTCATTGGAATGCTTCTTTTTTACCAACCCCATCATGCTCTCCATAGCTTGGCTGTCCTAACACAGGGTCAACCAACATGCAGCACCCCTGGAGCTGGGAGTTAAGGACCTTGCTCAAAGGCCCACAGATATGTGACTGTTCTGCTGATGCTGGGGCTTGAATCAGCAATCTTCTGATCACAGACACAGAGACATAGCTCACTGAGCCACTCACAGCTTAATATGATAGTTAGCATACTAAAATGCCAGTTAGTTTGTCAAAGGATCCGACTGGGTATACAGTAGCTTAATTGGTTTGGCTTCTGTGTCAAGAAAGTCGTGGGTTTGAATTCTCGTCATTATTAATCACATCTTTGTTGGGCCCACGAGCAAGGCCCACAACCCCAGTTTCTGCAATGGTGTGGGTACTCTCTGATCCTATGCTTTCCACATCGCTTTGGACGAAAGAGTGTGATAAAGAAATATGCAGCACCAGCGAAAAGTCTGGACATACCAAGCCGCCTACAAAGGAGAGCGATAGAGTGTCACATCACATGACCTGGCCACATGACTTAAACCCAGAAGAGATGGTTTTGGTGGAGTTTGACCAGAGAGTGAAGGCAAATCGGCCAGTGAGAGCTCAGCATATGTGGGACCTCCTTCAGGACAGCTGGAAAAGCATCCCAGGAGGCCACCTCATGGAACTGGCGTAGGGGAAACCGTAGGGTCAGCCAGGAGCAAGTAAGGGCCTTGTGCTCAAGGGCCCATGTGGTATCACTCTGCCAACCCAGGGATTAGAACCTCCCCCCCCCACCACCCCCCGCAACAAAGTAATTATTTTCAGTAAATTTTCAGTTAGTGTATAATTTCATGTATGTTGTATTATAGTTTTGACGTCTTTATGATTATTCTACAACGTAAAATATAGAACAAATAAACATTTCTATGGGTAGGTGCGCCCAAACTTTTCACTGCTGCTGAATGTGAAAAGGTCCGGTCATGAAAGTAAAGGAAAATGTTGTTTGGGTATAAAAAATCATGTCACAAAAATCTGAATATCTGGATAACCACCCTCTCCAAATTTAACACATTTGAGCAAAGGTGGAGATTTCAGGTCCAGAGAGTACAAATCCAGACCAAGATTTTGTTTCAACCAACCAGTTGAGTGCTCTGTGACTGTGACTCCTTATATTCAACTGGTTGGTTGAAATAAAATCTTGGTCTGGATTTGTACTCTCTGGACCTGAAATCATCACCTCTGCGTTTCAGTGTGTTGCATCCTGCCAGATGTGTCGGAAGACATCTGTGATGAAATGAGAATTGGGCTAATCAGTAATTCTTTCCTTCAGTCTCTTGCCAAAGTGAATTCAGAGAAGGGGTGAGGTCTGCATTCAGCATCACAGCCCTCTTCCGTCATCTTTGCACACCCTCATGGATCACACAAGAACAGTCTTCATCTCAGGTGTTACATGTAATATTACAGCATTACAACAGTATTCCAGCTTATTTCATGCAAGGTCACGCTTAGCAGATTGCTTCTCTTATTATCTTCTTTCTCTCCTTTATGTCGACTTTGTAGGTGCGGAGTTTAGATCTCAGTTGCCCAGGGCAGTAACCCTTTAAAAGGTATTTGCTTAGAATGTGCCATTGGGCCACTTTACACAGGAGCACCGACTGGACACTGAAATGAGTCACTACATCTAACAGAAAATATCCTTAAGATTATTAATTTGGTTTCATTCACCCCCCCAAGTCAAACGCTGTCCTATGCCCTTATTTTTACTCAAGTACATAAAACAATAAGAAGAGACAAAATGTATGAAAGCCACTACATTAAGTCTAATGATACATTGTACTCAGTATTTTGATACTACATATACTCCAGACTCAAAGGATAAGTATGGTCTTACTATGGAAAAATATCTGTCAGACTGAAAACATATTTTAAATTAACTGAGATTATTGTTACTTCTCCACATAATGGTAAAGTAAATCAATCACCTCTCGGGCCCTTGTCAGGGCTGAAGATAAAATTTGAATGATTATATTTGCTTTGAACAGACTGCACTCATTATAACGAACAGGAATAAATGACTGATGTATGAGAACTGAATATGTAAATGTGGGTCGCCAAGGATTCGCATACAGATGTTTTTGTTTTCCAGTTCGTTCTTTTCTTCCTAACCGTTTTTCGATGCTCAGTAGCGACGCGCGTATCTTCCACCACCGCAGGGAGTCCTGGTGGGGCCGGCGGGGGAGCGTGTTGAGATGTTTGTATGAGTTTGAGGCAGCATCCCTCAATACCTCCTGCCCATGTGGTCAATGCAAAATTGTTCTCTCTGATCAGCAGCCATATGGCAGCAATACAAAGCCCAATCCATTTCAAAGGCAAAATATACTTAAAACAGCCAATACCAGACCATTAAACAGTTATTCATCAATATGTAAATGGTTGTTTCTAATACAGTCACAGGATCCCATCCATTTAATGCCTGGGGTCCATTCCGTCACATGCCTGTGACTGCTCCTTATTCTGTCTTTGAACCATTGAAGAGCCACTACTTCCTAGAAGAGCAGGAATGCTGATTAAAATGGAAAACACCTTTTTAAAAATGATGTGAAGTGGATTATTCAAAACCTCAAGCATTTTGTAATCGCAATAAGGCTTTTGGGATAATCACTCCCGCAGATATAGGGGAAAAGATACCATGTGACCCCAAGGTGGAGTTTGGGGCTCTTCTGGGGACTGGGCACAGTGCAGTGGGGGTTCTTTCAGTTTAAGATGACGCAAAGTGTAATGGATTCGGGACGGGCATTAAGGTCACTACAAGCTGACTCTACCTCCTTCACGGTGTTATTTAACCAGTTTCCAAAGCCACTTCCAATTATTAACATTGTGGTTGTTAAACACACATAAACTATTTAATCGTTAGGCAAACATTTAAGTAAATTTGCATGTGTGCAGGTGTGGGATAAGCACAGGGAGCTGGAACAGGTCAGCTTCCATTAGCAGCATGGATACAGTTTACATAATGCTAGATTTATGGGATAAATTTAGACAGGCTGAATTTACCGATAGGCCTAGTTAACCATATTGAATCATTTCTCTCACTAATGAGGGAACACAGTGCCGGTGTCACTCTGAGTCACGTCATGAGTAATGAAACGAATGACTAATCAAAACAACTGTAGATATTTCAATATATGTCCAAAATCCCATATAAATGAAGGATGACTTCTATTCTTTCTGCTGCCTGGTCTTCTTTCATTGGGATCTCTTCAAAAGAAACAGGTGAAGAGAAACTATTAATATATGACTTTAATTGTCTCGCAATGGTTGCTATGAGATTTTGGTTTCTCGGGTTCTCCAGTGGTACGGAAATCGACCAGGAGACACGCAGCCACAAGGGATGCTGGGTAGCTCCATATGCTGCTGCACGCCAGTCAATAACATCGTCTGTTAGCTGCCTGCGCACGGATTCCAGATGCCCGTGCCCAAGCTATCGA